GTGCACAAACCCGGCTTTTCTCACTCAACACATGGGTGCTGCTCCCTCAGCAATGAGGAGAGGGAACCCATGAGAAAAACCGCGTTCCTGCCAATTAGTGTCTCTGCCTTACTGTTGCACTTCATGTTTCCTCCTTTGGATGACTCACAGGAGATCAGCAAAGTGTTCCCTCCCCCCCGCCTCTTTTTTGAGGGAGTTTATAAACATAGAAACTAATATGTTTATCATCTTATTTAACAACTCATTTTAAATTGTTAACTCAATTAAAAAGAAAAATACTTAAGTAGAGAGTAAAAGGGCAGAAGATAAAGTGAGAAAATAGAGAATATAGTACTTAAAACATTTTAAATCTTTTATTTATAATTTACCCCCAGATTTCATCTTAAAGAGTGAAATAATATTTCACGATATCTTTGTCCCTGAAGTTTATATTAACTCATCTTGAAAACTGTCTCCAGGAGTGACTCACTGTCTGCTCTGTAGCCACAGGAGTTATGTCTCACACGCCCCCACACTGCCTTCTTTCACCCCTGCTGGTCTGAGATTGGGTCCTTTCACAGTCTGGCAGAAAGCTGGCACTCTTCAGAATGTAGCAGGAACTTTGTAGGACCTAAAAGAACATCTGGACTCTGATTTTTATTAGGACTTGTAACCAAATGTGTGACCCTTCTATCAAGGGAGTGAAAATGAGGATGGAGGGGGACAGACGTGGGCAGAGTGGAGCTTTCTGAGTGTGGGATGGCTGGGACCTGCCCCCCAAGAGAATCCGCACACCACCACCCGCCCGCCCCCACTGCCACCCCGTACTGTGTGAGTCGAGAACTGAAAAGAGCCCCTTGTTCACTAAGGATCAGATCAATGAGATGTACAGACTAGGTTCGGTGAATTCTGGCAAATTGAGTTCAGTGGCATCAGGGACCCAGCCTCCTGGAGGGCTGGAGCTTAAGCTGATCAGTGGAGTCTAGAATATAGATTCTACGCCAAGTATTTCTGTTCAATGGTAACAAGAGGTGATGGAGGCCAAACAGGAGCTTGGGACTGTGGAAAGACTAATCTGATATATGTCGTGTACATGACTGAGCCGCCTGCAAATTGAGTGCTTTTCTGAGGAGCGGTTTTAACCAGAAGTGGAGGATAAGCGCCCTGGGTGGAAAACAGTTCCATTTGTCCCAATGCCCAGGACCAAGAGTGGGTGCTTGCAGGCTAGGTCTTAGTGTAGGATGATGCATATTAGTGAGAACTGTGAACTCACGAGTGAGAAGAGGAACTCAGCTGAAAAAAGAAGCAGTGTGGGTTTGTGATGCCTCACTCCCCACCAAGTGAGCACCTTGAAGTCTATTCACACACAGCTGGTTTGTCTCCAAAATTTCTTCACGTTCTAGTGAAGATTAACCTTGTCCTTGAGTGAACTTCAGTGTGCGTGGTAGGAAAAAGCATTTGGGCATGCCCAGGATTATGAAATGGAAACAAGTCAGGGAACCCTGAAAATCTGTTCTTTTTGGCTGGTGGACACTAGCAGTAGGGAGCTGGTCCAGAACACGCTGGGGCTTCATGTCCAATGAGGTCAGTAGTGTGGTGGCTAGGTCTGTGCCAGAACGATCGCATTTCCAGCCTCAGTGTGGATTTCCAGCCTACTCTCACCTCTGCTCTCACTGGGTGAAGTTTTCTTTCCTTCCTGGGAGAAGAAGCACTCGAGTGCTCGTCTCAGAGAGATTCTGATCCTGACTGCTCCTGGGATGCACATCCGTGATCTCCCAACATGCAGAATCAGGGTGCTCCTGGCCATCCGTGTCTCAGCTTTGCCCTTGTAGGGCAGCTGGCTCCTCGGCCTATTACGCTTCCCTCTGTGTGACACCCCACACGTGGCCTCGCAGCAGTAGCTGAGCAGGACAACGCCTCAGCCATGGGTGTCTCTGCTGCCTATGTTTGACCAGATTATTGAAGACAGCAGGCCTGCAGTGTGGGGACCATGTTTTTGTAGGAAAGTTTGCATGAAGCTCACTTTAACCTATTAAAACGTAAGTTATTCTTTCCAGGTACAGCTATTATGTCTCAGTAATCCTGTGTGCTTTAAATTAGACTTTATTAGAAGAGGGAACATGATATAGACTATAATATCTCAATCATTTGGAGCCACGCTACCTATCAAATATGGAAGTTGTGATTTACTGTTTGTAAAACTTCACTAACCACAGTGGCTTGGACATATTTAATTCCTGATAAACAATTGAATTATTACTCCTGTCCATTTCTCTGAGTCTTTAAATCTTCTAAACATTTCATTTTTTAAACCCTATCCATTTCTGTCAACAGGAAGAACTGGATAATATTTAATTTATAAATGCTATTTGCAACCTGGGGTCACACTTGGTTTACAAACAGATTCTTACATCGCCTGTGCCTTTGACTGTGTACTTACTCTGATGCCCAAGCCTGAAGCCATCAGAGAAACTGGCGTGGTCTCCATGGGAGATTAGGGTGACTCAGGGGCCACCCCACGTGGGAGCCCACAGTGTTCCCTATCTTCACTGGCCCGCCTCTTAGCGGTAGATTACCTTTGCACTGCAGAGACTCTTGTGAATATTAATTTTCTTTCTTCCCAGGTATCCCATTTATATTAAACTCCTTGTCATACATGAGTATTTTATTTTATTCAAGAACTTCTCTTGTTTGAAATATTTTAACCTACTTCCTCTCCTCTTTTTTTTTTTGTTTTGTTTTATATTCAGTAACTTCTAAAAATTCACCAGTAAGCTTTACTTTTTTAACTCTGTGAAACATTTGTACTCTCACCCCTTCATATTCTACAAGTACTTTTTCTAAAACTTGATTCTAAAGTTCCACCAACTCTGGGTCATTCTCTGTGTTCTTGAAGTTCATGCACATAGTAGGATATCGGAAAAGGTACAAAATTTGGCATGATTTACCTAAACAAGCTGGAGTTTATCTAGTAATTGTTCTTGATCCTGAAGTAGAATTTTTTTTTTTTTTAAATGTTGGCAATATAGGAAAACCTCGTAAAGGTCACAGAATGGCTCTCTTTCTCAGTTCTTTAGTGAGCCCCAGTGCTCTGGCCCTTTAAAATAAAAGTCTAGTTCCCATCATTGATGCCTCCCCACTCTTTTTCTCATTTAAACTACAGGCTGGTTTCCGCCATATTAAAGCAAATCAACCTGGTAAGGAACAGACTGACTTTTATTTACTGGCTGTAGTTCTAAGCACCAGAAATGGGCAAAGGAGACCAAACAAAGAATAGGAAAAACGAGGCATTGAAGGGGAGCCAACCTGGGTTTGGAAGGCTTCCGTGGCGGCAGGATGTGCCTTTCTTGCACTGTTTACTCTGAGCTCAGAAATAGAGGAGGAAAAAAGGTGGATCACGCTACTGCTTGAAATGGATACAGAACATACCAGAGCGTGCAGCGCATGGAGTATAATCAGACACTGGATGTAATTATGCAAATGTATGCATAAACGGCTTTCCTTTGAATAAATTGTCTGCAGCAACCTTAGTGCTCAAGGTTAAAGTTAGCATAAGGGCATGATTTGCCAGCCACAGGGTGACTTTGCCCAAGTCGCAGCTGAAAAACATATGCTTTACTGCACCGTTCCGACCCCACCCCTACCATTTTTCATCATTGTACCTGACTGTGTGTTGAACCCTTGATAATATGAACTTTGGCTCTCTAAGATTGTTAGGGCTTCTGCTCTTTTCCTTGGAAAAGGTACCACCTTGCTTCAGAGAGGAGATTGGGAAAAGTTTGAGGATGACTGTGGTATGGTGATTTTTAATCTGTTCAGCCTAGTGATACTTCAAGCTAGTTGTATGCTTATTTTGAATTAAACTTCACCTGGAATTTTTTTTTTTTGAGTAGTAAGCATTTGGAGGCCTATTTAAAGGAAGTAAATGCCTACATTTACTAAGGAGAAAAATGTGCTTTCTTTGTTTTTTAGATAATAGCTTCAAACATAGTCCTGGAAGTCCTGGGCTTGGCTGATTAAAATGCTGAGATTCATCTAGCATTAGCATGTGATTTTCTTTTGCATGAACATAGATAAACTACTGTGAATTATGGATGTGAAACATTCTAGAAAACTGCTGATATGAGTATTCCATGCCTCTGAGCATGGCACAGAATCTTTTTTTGTTTCTTCTTCTTAGATCTATTAAGAGAACCCACTGGAGTGTTTTTGTTTTTTTTTTTTTTTTACTTCAAGGAATTTGAAGCATCATATAAGGCTAGGAATGCATTAAAAATGTGTTTCCAGCCTCATAAAACACTTAAGAATGGCTGTAACACACATAGATGAATTGAACTGATGTTCCAAGTCCTCGTCAGACATTCAGCTCAACTACTAGCCTTGATAGAAGTCCCAGATTGTCCAAAGCACTGCTTTGAGACCAGATGTGGACAAGAGTTAGTCAAAGGCATGTGCCCAGCGTTTAGGGATGAGCATGCAAGCAGCTCACCAGCCGGAATGTACAGATGTGGGCTTGGGAGCTGCCGCAGAGCAGGAGAGAGAGAAGACCAGGGAGGTGGTCGGGGGGGGGGGGGGCGGGGGAGGAACATTTGTGACCTGCGGGGCTGCATAGATTGATCCTTGAGTGCTGAGCCGTCTGGGGAAGACGGTACAGTTCCTAAGCTAGCGATCCTGTGAGGCTGCAGATGCACTCTAATGGGCCAGATTGGGCCATTTGACCAAGTGAGGAAGAAGATCTGAGAAACTGGGATCCTTAACTTGAGCATTGCCCTGTGCCTGAAAAGGGCTTTCTCTTTTGTTGACCAAAGTCCTCTTTCAAAATACCTCAGGTATGGTACACCACCTGCCTCAGTAACAGAATTGTCTGTAGTGCCTGTGTTAAGGATGGCATTTCATTGTAGAGTGCTTTCCTTCTCTTGGTTTTGTTCATTGAAGCTAGAAAATTAAGCAGTTATTCAAAATGCTCCTTCATTTTCTTATTTATTTTTTTAAACTTTATGTACATTGTTGTTTTCTTTTAGGGAAAAAGAAACAGTGGTTTCAGACAGTGCTTCTTTGGGAGCCAGAAGCACTGCAAGTTGACAAAGCTGTGCCCAGCCATGGGGTACACGTTCCGGCTGGCTGCTCGGAATGACATTGGCACCAGGTATGGTGTTGCCCAGTCCTCGCGCCTTTAAGCCTCTGTGTGGTATCCCTGAGTCCTCCTCTCCCGTTGCTGAAAGGTGAGGTCGCCTGCTGCCTCCACACTGCACCAGCTGGAGATTTTCCAAAAGAGAATCCTACTCAGAGGCTAGAAGGCCCCTTCCAAGGTGATAAATGCCACTGTGTGTCCTCTTTGCAGCCTTGCAGGTGGTAATGCAGAAAGGCCCACTAGGGGTCTCAGAGAATCAAGGTAAAGGTAACTACAGATATTGAAAGGGAATCCTCTGAGGACTCTATTTTTCAGATGCTGTGCCTTTTTCTTTCATCACTTTAGCAAGCTACTCGTTCAGTTGCCTTTTTCAATTATGTCTGAGTGTTTCCTGATGCAAAGAATGAGTTGCTGGGCCATCCATTGTTGTCAAGCCCAGGCAGATACTCACAAGACTGGAGAGAATCTGGGTAGGACTCACGGCTTGCCTCCAAGCTGCTAGGGAAAGGCGAGAACAGGTTTATGGTGAAGCATCAATAGATTAAAAGTGCCTTGAAAAGACCCTATTTCAATTGCACTGCCTGGGTAACTGTTGATTAAGGGAAAAATCTTTTTCTTTCATCACTGCTTGTTGAAAGTCTTCTTAAAGGTTCAGCACATGATTGGTCCCAACCCTTTATTCAGCCTAAAGAGCTTGTTAAGATCACAAGCTTTTCAGCCCTCTTTCCCTACCCATGATAGCCATTGTATTTTTAGAGTTCACTAGTTGAACAGTCATAATGATAAAGGCTTCTACAGCTTCAGAATTTATAAATGAATTAAAAGCATCCACAAACTTTTGGAAAACGGCAGTGTACATATTTGTAAAACATTTATTTTATCAACAGACAGTTGTTTGCCCTTATATACCTTGATTTGACAGTTCCTTGGTAGCTGTGGCTCATAGCTTGTCACCATCATACTGGGCTTACTCCTAGGTGCCTGTTGGGAGAAATACATTTTTAAACATATTGTCCTGTAACACAGTATGCTTTTCTAGTAGTAGACTAAATAGGGAGTGGGTGATTGGGGCCCATTGAAGTTGTGGGGAGGAACATCACACAAAGGATCCTGGCTTGCCTTTGCTCTCTGAACCTGTCAGGCCACAGACTTACCAGCCCAAGCCAGTCACACGGTTGCTTTTGAAATGTCGAGACTCCTCCACATGCTCCTAAATGTGTCTCACCGGGTCTGTTTCTCCCCAGCGGGTATAGCCAAGAGGTGGTGTGCTACACGTTAGGAAACATTCCTCAGATGCCCTCGGCACCAAGACTCGTTCGAGCTGGGGTCACATGGGTCACACTGCAGTGGAATAAACCAGAAGGCTGCTCACCTGAGGAAGTAGTCACCTACACCTTGGAAATCCAGGAGGATGAAAATGTAAGTCTGGCACACGTCATACTTCTGTGTGCATTCCGTAAAGTCAGTTTTATCACAGTTACAGGGTACACTGTGAAATTAGATTCACTGCCTAAATTGGAAACCAGACTCTTAATTTCTATCAGTGCAACCACCAGAAGAAACCTGTCCTTCGCACAGTCTTCCCCAGATCAGTAAATGGCATCCCCGACCTTTCACTTGGGGAAGCCAGAAACCTGTGGGCCCGTCCTTGACCTCATATGTGTGTTGTGTTGTTGCGTTAGTCATTCAGTCATGTCTGGCCCCATGGACTGTAGCCCACCAGGCTCCTCTGTCCATGGACTTCTCCAGGCAAGAATACTAGAGTAGGTTGCCATTCCCTTCTCCAGGGGATCTTTCCAACCCGGGGATCAAACCCAGGTCTCCAACATCGCAGGCAGATTCTTTACCATCTGAGCCACCAGACCTCATATGTAATCAGTCAACAAATCCTTGTAAATCTCCCTTCCAAAGTTACCCAGACATCTGATTATTTCTCAGCATCTGCACAGCTACTATACTTTTCCAGCCCCCATCATCTCGCCCCTGGGTTGTTGGAATGGCCTCTTAAGTATTTTCTCTACTTTCATCCTTACACTCTGTTCTCCACATGAAGCCAGAGTGATCCTGTTAAATAAAATACAGCATGTCAGTGCTCTGCTCAGAACTCTTCCCATCTCAGCGCCTTCCCTTCTCTTCCAGAGGAGAAGCCAGTACTCTTAGGATGACTTCCAGGTCCTCCGAATTCAGGGTCTTCATCCCTGACCTTGTTCCTGCTGCTGTCATCAGGTGTTGCTCCCACAACACCTATGCGACCCTTGTGCCTTCTGGCTCACATGCCCCTTCAGATACCTTTGAGTCACTTCCCTCGTCCCCTCCAGGTCTCTTCTCACATGTCACCTCTTTAGAGAGCCCTTCCCTGACCGCCTTGCATGACAGCGTTGTCCAGGAACTCTTTCCGCGGTGATGGAGGTGTTCTGTAATTCGTGCTGTGGAATAAGATAGAGCCTAGCCACACAGGGCTGTCGAGCAGCTGAGATGTGGCTGTCAGCCCACGGAACTGAATTTTTAATTGGATCTAATTTAAATTGGAAGAGCTGCATGTGACTGCTTCATTGAGCCTGGGGAGCTATAGAAAGCAGTGCTCCCTCGCTCTGTCACTCACTCTGTTCTCTTACCCACCTTTATTTTTCATCTTATAGCACTTAACACCACACAACGTGCTTCATATTTGTATGCAGAGTGTTTCTAATTGCTTTCTCCAGCTGTCATATAGTTTCTGATGGGCAAGGCTTTGTTCTCGGGTGGTGCTAAACCTCTAGAGTGTGGAAAAGAGCCTGGCGCATCAGAGGTGCTCTGAGATCGGATGGATGAATGGGAGTGGATCGATGTATGCATGCATGACTAAGAGTACTGTTGTATGAATTCCGTACAGTTAGCTGTCAGTGGGACATTTATCCCGTTGAAGGCCTATATCTTCCCCATCCAAGCTTGCCTTTCCCCATTGGCCAGAAGAAGACACTGTGTCAGAAATCCCAACCCCATAACACATTGCAGCTTGACCGTGAGGACTTCTGCACAAGAGCCTTTTTTCATGACAACGTTGTTAAATAATTTTTTTTTAAACTGCATACTGCTTCACTAATTTGGTAGTTAAACTATTTAAAATTCTTATTGAGTAACCAGAAAAAGTTTGCTCTGTGAGGAAAGTATATGGTGCATCTATTCCAAAGCAAATTTGCACTCTTTGAAAGAGAGAAAATTGTTCTCTTTCACATTAGTGCTAGTCTCACAATAAAAGTGCCCAGATCAGGACAGATTATGATGTGATAACAGTTAAAGTTTTACTTAAAGCATTGTGGGATTCTGGCCCTATTTTTGCTATAGCTGCCAGACTTCTGGCCCACTGTGATGTTGGAAGGAGGCAGTATAAAACTCCTACATACAAGGGATTTAATGCCCAGATTTTATGATACTGATGTTTCTTTCTGGATTTGCCTTTTCAGGATAACCTTTTCCACCCAAAATACACTGGAGAGGATTTAACCTGTACTGTGAAAAATCTCAAAAGAAGCACACAGTATAAATTCAGGGTAAGTCAGTTATTTGGGTACTTGAAATGCTTAAAAATGAAGCTCTTTTATGTTTTACCCCTTTATCATTTTAAGTCAACTGTACAGGTTAAAAACTTTTTTAAGGTTGCTGCACTTTACATTTTTAAAGTAGTATCTATAAAATACACACCATACTTTAATTTTAAAACCCACCCCCAACTTTTGAGAAAAGAAACCTGTCACTGTAATGTGCTATAATAAATTACATAACAACGAGGCTAGATGCCCTTGCCCAGGAAGATTCAGACCAGGTGCCCAGCATACCTGTCTCTCACCTGCACTTTACATCCTTCTGAAGAGTTTCTTCTTTTCATCAGATTTCCTTTTTTTTCATTGTCCTGTGCTCTTTTGCCCATTTTCTCTTTCTCATTCATTTTTCGTTTTCTCTTCTGTTACCTACGCCCCTCCCCTTTAGGCTCTGGACAAGCACTGCTAATGGCACCATGGGCCATTGTGTTGGAGCAGAAGACAGTTTTGCCATCTCGTTAGGAGAGAGGAGACAGCAGGCTGCCTTCTCTGCTGCCTTACTCTTTACTGATCCTAGCACAGCACTGCACTTTCTAGTGCAGCAGTGCGCATTTTGGAGAGATGTGGCTGTCTTCTGATTCTCTCTTTGCTTCTCTTAATTTGTGAACCAAATCATGTTATTTAACTTGTAGGAGTCACTCAGTAAATATTTGTCAGATTATCAAGTGGAATGTGTGACTACTAAAGGAAAATGATAGTTTTTGATATTTTAAAAAACCTTGCTATTCGATGGCTGGCTATGAGATCAGAGGTATGCTGCCAGCAGTTCTCCACAAGGTGGCATTGTCCTACTCCTAAATAATCAACGTTAGCATGGTTCTTTATATCTGCTTCCCCCCCACCCCCACATTTTCCTTCCATAAAACAAAATGAACTGGGTGGTGACATACTGGTTTTGTTTTGTGTTCTTGAAAAGGTAAAAATGTCTTTACCTAAAACCTACCTTGTTTCATTTTTAATTGTTAAGTAAACTATACAGAAAATAAGTACTCCTTTAAAGAAACACTTATAAATTAGTAGTTTGGGATTGTGAGAGAGTGAGGGAGAGTATGTGTGTGTATCTGGGTTCATGGATGCCTTGATCTTGCCATGTTGAAAGTCACCACTGGTTTAAGACCTACTATATAAAGCATATGAATGTATTACTGGTTGTGTTACAGCTGACTGCTTCTAATATGGAAGGGAAAAGCTGCCCAAGTGAAGTTTTGGTTTGTACAACGAGCCCTGACAGGCCTGGACCACCTACAAGACCCCTCATTAAAGGACCAGTTATGTCTCATGGCTTTAGTGTCAAATGGGGTATGTTTTATTGCTATTGCTACTGCTGCTTTTTTTGACAGATTATTTAAAAGCTTGACTAGTTTCAGTAGTGACAAACCAGTTAACAAAGAAACCATATTATCTGAGGGAGTTTTACATGTTTGAAATATATATGTTAGAAATATCCTGACAATGCCACCAGTTGATAAAATTGACAATTGCAAGAGCATTTCATTTACTTCATGATTTTCCTGTAAGACACTTCTTCTGCCTGTATTTTAATGTATTAATGATTTGTATGTGGTAGTCTCTGAATATATCATTCTTCAGTAACTTTCCCTTAAAATGTAGCAAGATTTAATATGAAAATTGATTTATAAAGTTCGTATTGAAAATAGATTTCAAATTTAGGTTAAGTTGTATTAGATTTTACAGAATGATTAAGTTACAATAAATTAGGAAGACTTTAGTTTTTGTTGTTTGTATATAATCAGAAGTCTTGGACTTTAGGAAGTTCCCATATTGAAGTTCATTATATGCTATTTGTAGGAATCTGATAGAAGAATATTGTGTCTCACCTGCTGCATGTATTATTTCAATGAAATGAATGCCATTAGAATGTTGAGAGACATTTGCAATTATATGTGAAACTGTTATGATGTGTATGATCATCACTAACATCATATAATAGTAGTAACTACCTAACAGACAAAAAAAAGAAAAGATTTTACCTGGCAGTTAAGTGATATAAAGGAAATGTAAAGCATAACTAAATCATTAGTGGAGACCAGCCACTGAGACATATCACTGTTTCAAGTTATGTGGTAATTTTGAGGCAGAATTATTCCCTGCAACATGGATATGATTAAAAGAAACAAAAAAATCTAGGTGTGCTTTTTGCCAGATCTAAAGCTTCTTTTCTCAGAATATCCTAGAAATTTCTGTCAATGCTAAATATTTACTTTCATTGTTAACTGTTAAGTCGCTCAGTCTTGTCCAACTCTGCAACCCCGTGGACTATAACCTGCCAGGCTCCTCTGTCCATGGGGTTTCCCAGGCAAGAATACTGAAGTGGATTGCTGTTCCCTTCTCCATGGGATCTTCCTGCCCCAGGGATTGAACCTAGGTGTCCTGCGTTGCAGGCGGATTCTTTCAGTGTCTGAACCACCCAGGAGCCCCCGTGTGCCATAATATTTAACTATTTAATTATTGCTATAAATATCTACTACTGAAATTCATGTGTATTAATGGAAGTTACAGGTGAAAAGAGACAGGAATTAAAGTTTCTAAATCTATATGAGTAACCCGAGAATATGTCTAAAACATAGAGACAGCCAATTGATAGTAGAGGCAACTCCTGTGTCGTCTTGAAAAAGGGTATTTTTCTGCTCAGAAAAGGAAATTCTTGCAGGCCCTGGGTTAGCAGTAGACAAATAGCTGAGGTACACAGGGTTCTAGTAACAAGCCAGAACCTCTTTCTCAAACTGCCTCTTTGATACAGGTTCCAGTTGATATGATTTTCTATTAGGTTCACTTGGGATGTAAAGTTTGCTTAGTAGCAAACTGTGGTGAACATATTTGTTATATTCTGGTGTTTTATTTATTTCATCAGTAATTTCTACACCTCTGTTTCCCTCTCTTTCCATCTCTCCAAAGAATCTGGTCATGATGATTTAAGTGAAATAATAAATAAAATAATTTTTGAAAAGAAGTACATGAATTTCATTTTATATAAAAACCACAAAATATTGAAGAACAGGCTTTAGAATTCTCAAAATAAATATTTGACCATAACTCTTAGTAAAATAAGGTCATATTTTGAGTTTTGTTCATGTTTCACTAAATGCTAACCTTTCGGCATTTGTAGCTCTGTAACCTTTGCATAGAAAGTTTCGTGGTGTTTTTGTTTCTTTTGTTTTTCAAGTAAGGCGTTGGGCAAAATGTTATATGTGTCTTTTAGTTGAATCCAGAATTTATACAGTCTAATGTTACATGGTTCTGTGTATTCTAATAATGTTTACTAACAAAAGTCAATATGCTTTTATAACTAATAAAACATTTGCTTACTCTCCAGATCCTCCAAAGGACAATGGTGGTTCAGAAATACTCAAGTACTTACTGGAGATTACTGATGGAAATTCTGAAGGTGAAGTTTGTAGAAACTCTTATTCAAGTCCTGTTTTCTAATAAGATAAACATCTGTATAATAATAGTGGGCGATCATTTATTCTCTTGATAGAGGTACTATGGTAAATGGGCTTTAGTCACATGTTGACAGTTTTTTCTTTGAAACACAGCATCAGGGATCAGTCTGCTGGATATGCATATTTGTATCATGCTTCTTAAAATTTTTGTCACTTCTTTAAGTCAAAGTGAAGTCGCTCAGTTGTATCCGACTCTTTGCGACCCCATGGACTGTAGCCCACCAGGCTCCTCTGTCCATGGGATTCTCCAGGCAGGAATACTGGAGTGGGGTGCCATTTCCTTCTCCTCTTTAAGCCAAAGGTCCTCATTAATAGAATAAATATGTTTTTCACCTCTCTTGGCATACTTTCTGTAGAAATTCTTATAAGCAGAGAGTGTCAGAGGCAGTCAGCAGGAAGAATAAAGCAGTGTGCAGAGGATGACAACATATCGCTGTGGGTTGCTGACAAGCAGAACACACTGTAACAATTCAGGAAATGTCTTCATTCTTGTTGTGATTTCTCAGATTATTTAATCATTACTACTTACTAATCGTTGCATTACTACTAGGTGAGCAAAGTGGGACAGTGTTAGAGACCAGATTCCTTCCATAGTGTTTTCTAAAAAATGCTTAGATCTTCCTTCTAATAAAATTTATTATGCTCTGATGGAAAAAAGTAAAGTCCTTAGAACTATAAAAATGACACCTGCCTCATCACCACTCTAATGATCCCTGTAACGATTACTTTGTTTTTTAAAGTGATGCACATGGTGGGGCGGGGGTGGGAAAAGAGTTAACAGCAACTTTTACAAACAGTCTGTGCAGGTGTGTGGCTTGCTTTTTATTCTGTGCCATGATAGCCACCTGGAATGTTTTATTTTCACATCAGTTGGGCCCTACCCTATTTTAAGCCAAAAAAATGAAAATACTCTGAGATGGGCATAGCTGTTCTTAACATAAAATCACGTTCTATGCTAAAAACCAGACCTTTGAGAGAAGTCATGTATATTCAGTGTCTCATTGTGAAAAACTAAATATATATTTTTTTTATTAGTTGGAGGCTAATTACTTTACAATATTGTAGTGGTTTTGCCATACATTGACATGAATCAGCCATGGATATTTTGAAGTTTTGTGGCTCTCCTGACCACTGATTAAAAGTAGATGCCATTCTGCACTTAAAGTTAACAGTGTGCTAGCGCATGACATCAGTGATTAATTCAATCTCCCCTGTACTCCTTGATCCTAGTTGCCTTTTCAGTGCAGGTCATCTCATCAGTTATGTCAGAATGACTGTCTTTATTATTCCGCCTTCTTCCTGTATGGCCCTTGTGCATGTGACTTCATTGTAGAAAGAAAGTGAAGTCGGTCAGTCGTGTCTGATTCTTTGCAACCCTATGGACCATAGCCTACCAGGCTCCTCCATCCATGGAATTTTCCAAGCAAGAGTACTGGAGTGGGTTGCCATTTCTTTCGCCAGACTTTATTGTAAATCTGGCTTAATAAGCAGCTGAGAGTATCTGTGGAAGTTAGTAACTATCGTGTGTGTGTGTATATGTTAGTTGCTCAGTCCTGTCTGACTCTTTGCAACCCCATAGACTATAGCCCTCCAGGCTCTTCTGTCCATGGGATTCTCCAGGCAGAAATATTAGAGTAGGCTGCCATTTCCTTCTCCACGTAACGGTCATGGAAGAGGGTAAAAGTATTTTCCCTAAAACAACTGCATGGAGTAAAACGCTCCTTTCAAATAGTCTGCTGGGAACATAGTGTCAGTGGAAACAAAGCAGAGGAATAAATGTCCTGGTTGGTTGAAGCAGCCTCCGCCGCGTGCTCTTCGCGTAGTGGCATCAGCCTCACCCAGGCCCCTCAGTGGCCCGCTTGCTTTCTTTAATCCCCGGCAGTGGTTAGATAACTTGGGTCAAACTGAGTGTTTCATCTTTAATGTCACTGTCTTGGGTATTTTTGTCTTAAGTGGGGCTCCATGGAGACAGCAGGCCTTTCCCCAGAGGACTTGGTCTATATGGCAGGGGTGGGGCGTGGGGAGTTCACTTGCTGTGACCTCCAGGCAGATAAGAACTGGGAGAAGCTCTTCAGTGGTGCCCTGGGCTGACCAGGAACCTCATGGCTGAGCCTGCTTCCCCCTGCCCAGCTGGCCCCAGGGGCTTCTCACGCCATCACCACTTGCCAGCTTGCTCAATACCATCTCTTGCTGCGGGGCCAACTACAGATTTCATGTGCTTTCCAGCATCCAAACCTCACAGTCAGCAAATGTGATCATGGTAATATTAAGTAGCGTAACCAGCAGTGCTAAGCATTAAAAATGCCTCCATGTTATTTTAGTTATTTAATTTTGTAAAGGAAATGGAAAGAGAGCCCTGTGACTGTTTAAAAAAGAAAAGAATCAGAGATGCTGGTTTTCATGGAAACCACTTAGAGTTTTTTCTTATCAGGAATGGTTGATACTATAACATTTTTACAAAAGGCGTAAACTCACACATGGTCTTATTTTGCAGCGAGTCAGTGGGAAGTGGCCTACAGTGGGTCGGCTACAGAGTACACTTTCACCCACTTGAAACCAGGCACTTTGTACAAACTCCGAGCATGCTGCATAAGTACTGGTGGACACAGTCAGGTTGGTTTTGTTTTGGTGTAAAAGTAAACATCTTTGGTCAAATTCAGACAGCCTGTCTGTAACATCAGAATAAATTGCTTTTTAAAAATATATCTTGGTACCACAGCCTGCCATGGTATCGCATCAGAGTTTTCTGAATTGTGCTTTAGAGGATATAGAAAGATAGACCCAGATGATTCTCAACTGAATTGTGCTGCTTTCCAAGACTTGGGCATGACCACATCACAGGTGAAAATTGAGGGTGGTCTACAATTTGCATTGGCTAACAAATACAGGGGGTGAACCTCAGTTATTGAAACGATAGAAAAGCTTAGAATTTAGAGCAAAAAGATACAACCTCCATCCAGCTCAGCTTTGCTGTTACTTTGGCAGTGTTGTAAGAATATGAGACACACCTTCCTCTTGATACTTTACTGCCATCTGCTGGAAAATGATTGTAAAGCCACATATACCTAGGATGACTGAGCTGAATTGCATCTGATTGCGCAGTGCCCAACCTATACATCTGTAGGTAGCACCAGTTCTCTTGTTGTCTGCCTTTTTTTAAATTAAAGTATAGTTGACTTACAATATTATATGTTTCCTGTCACAACACAGTGAGTTAATATTTTTATACGTTACAGAATGACCACCACCATTGTCTACAATTTATATGACCTTAGACCAACCATTCAACATGTCAGGAAACTTGGCTTCAACCTCACAGAAGCACACATGAAGTGTTCTAGAAATGAGATTGTTATCTAAATGATGAACATTTAGAAAGTGAGAGGCAATATGGTAAAAAACATCTTCATCGTAGCGATATTTAGCATTGTGGTTTTGAAACCATTAGTATAGAGAGAGAGAGAGAGCAGAAGATGGCTTATAGCCCTGGACTGGGTTGACTTTTCAGGAGAACAGCTGCCGGTAGGTGCAGAATTTTGCCAGTCAACCCACCTCTAACACCGTCATATGTTTATTTTCCCCGCGCCCCCCCCCCCCCCCCCCCCCGCCAAGGATAGCAGTATTGTGAAGTCTAGACTGTATATTTAGACAGAATTCTCAGGTTAAAAAAAAAGGTCCAGCTCCACGACATTTATACAGTGTCTCCCAGGGTGAGCTAGGTTAACCTCAAAGTCACAGGTGATTGGCGAACTTCTCTGACATGCGAGGTGCTGCTTGAGGCTGCGCAGAGGCCGCGGTGCCCCTTGAGTGTATAAACACATCTCCTCTGCACCGCGTTTCCTTAAGGAGAGGGATGAGGCTGGTTGAGCTGCATATCTCTACCGTGTTCCTCATATCTCAAAAAGGGGTCAGCTTCCATTCCGCCAGCCTTACACAGCTAGATCCTGCAAAAAAGAAGCCCTGATGATTTTAACGTTAGCAGAACCTGCTGGTTAATGTCACACTCAGCTGACTTTTTTGCTTTTCTGCTCTGTGTGTAGATGTGGGCCATTTATGGCACCGTTTAAAAACCTCATCCAGCTGATGTTTTGAGTTCTCCTCTGTCCTCAGGAAGTGTCTAATTTTTAGTTTAAAGGGAAGTAACTGTGTGCTTGGGATGCACAACAGTCAAAATGTCAGTCTGCAAATCCGACACCAGCAATAATTATTTTTACCAGTGCCATATGCATATGTCCGTACTTAAAACATACACAAATATACACGTGCACCACACACAGAGAGACAAAGGATCTGATTGCATGAGAAGTGTCCACATTCAGTGTGTGACCCGCCCCCCTGCCACTTTGGCAGCATTTGCTCGTATGGAGTGGAATTTGCCTGGTATGTAGAGCTCTAAAAAATGCATAGTAACTAAGAGACGGTTCTCTCTGGTGTTTCTCCTACAGTGTTCTGAAAGTCTCCCTGTTCGCACTCTAAGCATTGCACCGGGTCAGTGTCGCCCACCGAGGGTTTTGGGTAGACCAAAGCACAAAGAAGTCCACTTAGAGTGGGGTGAGTGACCACATTTTCATGTCGCCAACTTGGACCATTGGAGGTTGAGTTTAAGACTTACTGCTTTGTAACTAAGATTCAGGTCTTTCTTCTGAAAACCAGCTTTGTGTCTATTGAAAATGTCCATATTCTGTTTAATGTACGTGGGCTTGGGTTTGTGAATGCCCAGCACTGTGGCCCATCCTCCTGTCCCTGATGGTGCTGCACGTGCTGTTCACCCTCTGCCCTCAGAGGACACTGTTCTAGAAAATGTTTCAGAGCAGGAATTCCTCAACTTTATTCATAAAATAAAAGTTGTGCTTAATAAAGAGGTTAAACCAAGAAATTGTTCACAGGTAGCATCTGATTCCTCCTCACCTTTGCCACCCTCTCGTGTGTGGGTCCTGGTGTTTTACAGTCTCAGCTCAAGCTATGTTAGCATTTCCTGTCATATTAATAATTCATAGCATATGAAATTTCAAATATAAACCTACAGAACTCTCAGACTATTGTTCCCCATCACTTAATGTCTAAATTAAGATGTTATGCCAGTTTTGGGTTCTCTAATTTGATTTAATATGTCCTTTGGTTTCAGGTTAAAAAGAAGATTTTTCTCCCCTCTAATGTAAAAGAATTGCCTAAAAGTTCTATGGTTTTGGAATCACTTTGTTAGTATTATTAAACATACTTGCTTTGAAAAGTATGAATAACATCATTAAGAAACTTTCTTTTGTATCTCTTTCTCTTTTTGAAGTGGGAGTTCTTTTGTAAATATCAAGGACAGGCTACCTACATGATATTTTGCAAGCTTCATAGAAAGTAAGGTGTGATAGGGCCAACCAGAAATATAAAAATATTCTAAGATGAACAACATTCCCCATTCCCAGATGTTCCTGCCTCTGAAAGTGGCTGTGAAGTCTCGGAGTACAGCGTGGAGATGACAGAACCGGAGGATGTGGCTTCGGAGGTGTACCACGGGCCGGAGCTCGAGTGCACCGTGGGAAACCTGCTCCCAGGAACCGTGTATCGCTTCAGGGTGCGAGCTCTGAATGACGGAGGGGTGAGTACATGCTTATCACCACACAAGCATGAGGTCCTGGCACTTCCGTTTCCACCCTCCTAAAATTCTTCGTCTGTACCTGTCCAACCATGACAGCCGTTAAGGAACTGACGTAAAATCTTATTTCTGAAGAAATCCTGCTTTGATTTCATGTAGACCCAGCATTGGAAATTTTGGTTCTTTTGTCCTCCTATTAAGACAGAGTTCAAAGTTAATAAGGACTTTATTATTTAGATGCCTTTTGGTGGTTTCTTAATTTCCTAGTTTCTCATTGATTATATAAATCACTTATGGGAAATTGGGACTACATAATATTCCTTTGCCATGTTGTCTAAATTACTCAGCAATGTCTTAGGTCAGTTTTTAAAACTCTGCTGGGGTAGGGGCTAGGGAGACCAGCTTGTTTTTTCTTTATTTCATAGAACTCTCTGGTCCTTTCTAGTACTCCATTTGAAGCTGTTGAGGTGGGCTATTCAAGATTGAAAGGGTCTGACTGTATGCACAAAGATGATTGGTTTTTTTTAACTGCAGAGTGATGTGGATTCATAATGAGAATTGAAGTGACCCAGAAACCATAGGGCTGTTTGGTATGTCACAGATGGGCAGAAACGTAAAAGAAGGTAGAAGGGTGTGGGTAGGGCAAAGTGCTGCTAATGCCCTACAGACAGCCAGTGATGTGTATGAATGCATCCTGTGCAAATAAATAGACGTCATTGATCGATGAGGTTTTTATAGGAAAGAAAGCCAAGCCGACAGTGACTTCTCTAGTTCTTGGTGTTCATTCATGCCTTTCCGAAGTGAAGTGTGTTTGTCTTTAATCCGTCTCAAGTTAGCCAGGCCTTAGTTTGAAAACATTTGGTCTGAAGTAGGATTGCAAATCTTGATCAAGAGCTGGATCTCTTCTAATTCACCATGAGGAAAGAATTTCAGATACAGGTGTTTAAATTTTAAAAAGCCCACACACACAAAACTAGACAATTAAAATGTATTGGTGAGAAGATAAGAAAGCCTCTGTACCCCGACTTTTTATAAGTAAAAAGAGGATGGATGGTGATAATCACCAGTGCTGCAGAAGAAACCCTGGTGCTTTTCCCCTTCAACTTTTGAAGAAGATATTTGCCATGATAAAGCGACATGTGCAACTGGACTGATTGAGGTTTACTTTCTCCTTTCAGTAATTTATCATTTAAAGAAAGTATCTCAGCCTTATTTTTAAATCCTGTTATATTAAAATTTAATCATATATTTGACTCATGGGCCTCTTCTGTGGTCTACTCCAGACAGTTTCTCCCCTACCTTCAGTATATTTGCAAGTTATATTAGAAAATGTGAAAGATTTTTTTCTTTATGTTTTTTCCTCCATTTTGAAAAACACAGTCATATACTTCATTAGCCTGAAAATTGCTTTACTCTCTGCCCCAATTCTTTTAAGTACCACATATTCCACCTTAACCTGGTGCTTCTGGTTCTCTCGATGTGTTTCAAATTTGTAGTGATGATCGTCTCTGAGCAGTGTGGCCACTGATGGTGGGAGGAGGAGAGAAATGCCATATAAACCTTCAGATAGTTGAGATGGTGGCCATGCCAAGAAAACATTAATAGGACTGTTGGTTTCAAATTGGAAAATACAAGTATCTAGAAGAAATACTCAAAATTTGATAACCAACAATTCCACACAGATTTTTATGCTTTAAAAATTAAACTACAGTGTGCATCTGACTTGGTTTACTTTGAAATGCTCTGAGAAATTAAAGCACAATGCTGTGATGTAGCAAAAGTCAGTGTTTATTTCTTGAAGTGAAGTTGCTCAGTCGTATCCGACTCTTTTGTGACCCCATGGATTGTAGCCTACCAGACTCCTCCGTCCATGGGATTCTCCAGGCAGGTATACTGGAGTGGGTTGCCATTTCCTTCTCCAGGGGATCTTCCCGACTCAGGGATCGAACCCTGGTCTCCCTCATTGGAGGCAGACACTTTAACCTCTGAGCCACTGGGGAAGCCCTTTTATTTTTAGGTCACAGCAAAAATGTATGGTAAATCAACTTTCTAATCCTTTTGAATTAAAAAAAATAAAATATATATAAAGTAGACATTTACCACTCAAGTAATGTATGTTGGAAGAAAATCTACTCATGTAATTGAAAGTTGTATTGATGATACCATTAGCCTAGTCCTTGTTTGGTTATAAGCTTGTGTTATATGCACACATGTGCGCACACACACACTCCTTGTCTGGTATAAGCTTGTGTTATGTGCACACACACATGCACGGACACCCCTACACACACCCCTCCAAGCACATGTGTGTTTCTCTCTTGCAGTATGGTCCCTATTCTGATGTCTCAGAAATTACCACGGCTGCAGGGCCTCCTGGACAGTGCAAAGCACCTTGTGTCTCTTTTACGCCTGATGGATGTGTCCTAGTGAGCTGGGAGGTAAGTCAGGCACTTTTTGCGTTAATTTGTTTCTTCTACTTTATCTGTTCCCCAGTGCAAGGTGCAAGGGATCTACAAAGCTAAAATTCACATGTAGGTAGATGATTCTAACGAGTCATCTGCCTTAGCACTTGCCAGGAGTTATGGAAATTTTACCACTGATCCAAATTAAGAGGAAATTGAGTATCTTTTTCATGCTTTTCTTTTGTATATATTTCAAATATTCTGAGGCATCTTGCTCTTTTTTTTTTTTTGTATAATTAGTTGAACACAAACATCATAGGATTTTCTTCTCAATGAAATTAAATTTCTGAATTTTCCAGAGTCCTGAAAGCTCTGGTGCTGACATCTCAGAGTACAGGTTGGAGTGGGGAGAAGATGAAGAATCCTTAGAACTTGTTTATCATGGGACAGACACCGGCTTCGAAATGAGGGACCTGTTACCTGCCGCACAGTATTGCTGTCGATTACAGGTAGGCTGACACCATGCGGCCGCTACTCACAAATACTGGTGTTCCCCGAAAGACTCCTTGGGAAACTTACTCAAAGGCTCATGATGGAGGCCATCAGGAAGGGTGATATGGGGAAAAGAGTCCTTTTAGATAAAAATAGATGCAATCGTTTTGGCACTTTACAGTTCATTTTTGCTTCTCTGAGAGGTCCTGAAACATGGGAACAAAATCCAAATCATCTCCACTGTATTCCTCACCACCCTTGCATTGTGTTTGTTGGTTAATTCACTGAATACAGGATCGAGTCCAAGGCAAAGTGGGCACAGCTTCTTAGGAAAGATGCCTTTTGTCTGAATTTTCCGAGGTGCACATTTTGCTGGGAAAGCCACTTAGACAAAAAGCAAAAAAACCTTTAAAACTTCCCATTCCAGATGTTAAATGGAGCCAGAAACAAGCAGTAGAGTAGTTCGGACAGCCTGCGTTTGATCATAGGACCCACCTCCCACCTCTCAGTGACCATTAACAAGTCTGGTTATCTGTAAGCTTCCTCTTGGGTGTCCAAATAGAATAACAAAAAGAATAATTAGCTCCTAGCCTAACCCCCAAGAGTGACAGTAGTCATAGGTTTACTTTCATTTTATTGACTTGGGTAAATATTTTCTTTTCATTTGTAAAGCCTTATTGACTTGAGAAAACAGGGTTCTTTGTTCATTTATTTCCATTTGTTCAGTAACATTTGGGCCCTGCTTTGTGCCAACCTCCAAGAATGATCAGGATGACCAAAAGGAGAGAGAACAACGAATTCTATTTTCACACGTGTTTAGATTTAAATAAAGAAGCAAAGATGCCAGGTTTAGGTCTCCATCTGATTTAAGTCATGGATCATATTGTTTATTACACATCCATTTACTCTCAGTGTCTCTGGCCTCTGGAGAAAATAGTCCCTTCTTAAGTTAACTTTGGGCTTCCCTTAAGTTAACTTAAAGAATCTGCCTGGAGTGGAGATACAGATTTGAACCCCAGGTAAGGTAGATCCCCTGGAGAAGGAAATGGCAACCCACCAGCTCCAGTATTCTTGCTGCAGAATCCCAAGGACAGAGGAGCCTGGTGGGCTACAGTCTATGGGAGTTGCAAAAAGTTGGACGCAACTGAGCATGCACACACACAAGTTAACTTTCCAGATCAACAGAAGCTTTTCTGCTAAATTCTGAAGGCTGTTTTATCGTAAACATTTCTGGTTAAACTCTTTTGCTATACACACCTCAAATGGAGAGCCTGGGACATAATTAACCCTTCATCAGTGAGTCAGGGTCACAGCACATTATCTGAGCTATTTATAATAACAATGCTGAGTCATTGGGGAAAGGTTGAATTATGTGCTACACTCCTGTTTTTGGAACAAGGCAGGATATAAATAAAAACTCTTTGCCATCACAGGAAAGAACTTCAGTTCAACCTGTTTTTGCATTTTGGTCTCTCTTTAAAATGTTCTATTTGCTTTTTTTCTTTCGGGGTTTTTGTTGTTACTTACCATTAACACCCCAAAATTGCATTTTAAAAGTACGTTGGTAAGAATAGAACCTGCGTAATAATCTTGTCTCCCTGTTTCAACAGTAGTATTTTCAAACGTGTATACTTATTTGTCATAAAATGAGTCAGACACTATAAAGGGGATAGTACTCTCAAGACCACACTTGCTATACTAAAGAAGTATTGCCAGGAAAAAGTCTCCTCATCTTATATTAATTTCTTGATACCTGTGAACCTAATCTGAATCATTTTCATTTGATATTATTACAAAGTCAGGTTAAAGCCTGAATATTCTTTTAAATATTTGGTGCTTTAAAAATTAAATCACTGTAATATGTAAATAATATCATAAAAATTGGATGGAAGCATTGCTTATTTTGTATAGGAATTTTTGAATTTTTATATTCTTCGTTAGGAATGCTTCAATTAACATGTACCCAAATAATTCTGTTTATGTGAGGCATATTGTATATTTTACACATACTCTTAAATATTAGTAAGATTCTTGCTCAGGGCTGGTGCCCTGGGAAGACCCAGAGGGGTGGGATGGAGACGGAGGCGGGAGGGGGGATCGGGATGGGGAACACATGTAAATTCATGGCTGATTCATGTCAATGTATGGCAAAAACCACTACAATATTGTAAAGTAATTAGCCTCCAACTAACAAAACATAAATGGAAAAAAAAATGTAAAAATAAATAAATAAAAAGATTCTTTAAAATTGTTTACTTTGAAATTTGGTAATAATAAGAGGTATAACACAAGAAAGCATTTTCCATAGTATAAGGCTAGTAAAAGAAAATTGGGTCTTAAGTAGGATCCTGGAATATAAAAAGAGCATTAGTAGAAATTGGTAAGATTTTAATCTAACTACATAACATCTATACATAGTTAGTACTATTGTATCTCCTGGTTTTGATCATTGTTTTATAGTAATATAGGCCTCCCAGGTGGTGCAGTTGGTAAAGAATCCACCTGCCAATGCAGGAGACACGAGAGACCGTGGGTTCGATCCCTGGGTCAGGAAGATCCCCTGGAGGAGGAAATGGCAACCCACTCCAGTATTCTTGCCTGGAAAATCCCATGGACAGAGGAGCCTGGTGGGCTACAGTCCATGGGGTTGCAAAGAGTTGGACATGGCTGATAGTTATGATATAAATACAGATTTTAAGAATTACAAAACTGATACTTTCTTAGTTTTTGTAGAGATCGCCAATGTAGTATGGCTGATATCAGTTATTTCATTAAAATATGTATTTTTTCCTCTGGATCCTTCATATCCCCTTGGCCCTTGAATAACTCCACACAAATACACATGTTTGACAAAGTAATGAGTCAAGAATCATTACTGAAGACCTCAGTTAACACCAGGAAGGAGGCGTGAGAACAGACTAAGAAGGTGGAACCCAGACACAGAGTAAAATAAGTAAGAAAATGTTAATTTTAAAAATAATGGAGAAGACGAATAATACCTCAGAGTACATTAATAACATGAAAAGGGAAAAGGGTAATAAAATACTTAGTGCTAAATTTTTCATTATATGGTGAGATTGTAAAGAAATCAATAATTCAGCCTTAAGTGTATGTTAGATTTGTATAGTCATAATTATATGAGATATAAATATTTTAAAAATTTGAAACAAATTATGACCTTGATTTCCCTGTAGACCATTTGCTTACTTCTTACTTACCTTTAACAAAGAGTTTTTCTCTTTTCTACCCCACTCCACCCAGAGATCATCATCATTGACATCACATTCCCTCAGGTTAGTTATTAATGGTAGTCAGTTAAAGATAGGGGTATTTAAGAAACTCCTTTTGGTTTCTAGACTTAGACCAGCATAGCATCTCAGTTCTATTCTTGTAAGTAGCAGAAAATCATTTCTTTCCATGGGCACTTGAGTCTATAGCCAACTGTGGGAGTCTAAAGACAAATGGCTCAGCCTCCCATTCAGCCACTTCTGCTGTTATATCTCTTGATCACTGTCCAGGAATTTCCTTTTATTAAAAAAATTACACACACACACACACGGTAAAGAGTCTGCCTACAATGCGGGAGACCTGGGTTTGCTCCCCGGGTCAGGAAGATCCCCTGGAGAAGGAAATGGCAACCCACTTCAGTACTCTTGCCTGGAAAATCCCAAGGACGGGGGGGCCTGGTGCAGGCTACTGTCCTTGGGGTCTCAAAGAGTCGGATATGACTGAGCCACTTCATACACACACATACATATATACACACACATACATATATACACACACGTACATATATACACACACATACATCTATTTATGTGTGTGTGTGTGTGTGTATATATATATATGTGCTTCCCTGGTGGCTCAGTGGTAAAGAATCCACCTGGAGATGCAGGAGACACAGGTTCAATCCCTGGGTCAGGAAGATCCCCTGAAGAAGGAAATGGCAACCCACTTCAATATTCCTCCTGGGAAATCTCATGGACAGAGGAGCCTGGTGGGCTACAGTCCATGGGGTCTCAAAGAGTGGGACATGACTGATAGTTATATAAGGTATTAATATTAGGAGAAGCAAAATGAGAAATATATGCACTATTTTTTCAACCTTTCTTTAAGTCTAAAATTAGTTCAGGGTATTTTGTTGTTGCCTTATTTTAAGAAAATTGTTTCATGAAAATTTAGGAAACTAGGAAAATTGCTATTGCTGTTTTGTTCTTGATTTTCCTAGTGAGAAGGAGGGAAGTGAAGCACTGACCATTGGCTTAATACTGTGCCAGGATTTTACATGTTAACAAATTTAATCTTTAAAATAACTATAAATTAAGTGTTTCTATCCCCATTTTATATCTGAGGAAACAGACTCAGAAATATTAATTAGCCTAAGATCACACAGTTAACAAGTAATGAAATCAAGATATGAACAACGCTCCAACTCTAAAAGCTATGTTCTTTTCCTTGTATTACATAGTTGTTAAAACCTTAGTTAATATGAAAGTTGGACTCCACAGTATCTTATTTTTCTGCCCCTATGATAAATTTGTACCCCAAAAGAATATCTAAATATATACTCTTAATTTGTAACATAAATATTCTACCAAAAAGAAAGTTGGTGTTGTTATGAAATAGGACTAGATGTAAAAAATTTATTACAGAAGGGTTTCAAAAGCGATTTGATAGCAAATGAGTGCTCTTAACTTGCTTCTTTGAAATGAATGGTAACACACAGGCATTGTAGTGAACCTTTGATTTAAGAGCTCAGATGACTTTCCTTTTGGTTTATCATTTGTTCTCATAAGTTCTCCTGAGAAGTAAATTAGATTTTTGAGCACTTTCATTTTTGTCAAGAGGTTGCCAAGTGCTTTTGTAAGGGAAAAAAAATATTGTTAATGACGTTTATTGAGCACATGCTTTGTATCAGGTACTGTTCTGGTTGCTAGGGCTATAGCAGTGAACCAGAAAACCTTGCCCTTACAGAACTTACATTCTCAAGGGAGCAATTAAATGAAATATATACTATGTTGGTGATAAGTGCTATAATGAAAATAAAAGCAAAGAAGGGAAATAAATGAGAAGGATTATGGGGGTTGGGGTGGGGGTAACTACAAGTTTAAATGTGGTGTTCAGAGAGGTCTCTCTGCAAAGGTCAAAACTTGAGAGAAGCCTGAGTAGCTGATTGAATAGGCTATGCAGATGTCAGGGAAAGAGCTTTGTGGACAGAAGGGGCAGCAAGCTGCAAAGGCCCTGAGGTGAGCAAGCTTGGTGTCCCTGTGAAAAAGCAAGAAAGCCAGTGTGGCTGAAGCAGAGGGAGTGGAGGAAGGAGGAGACAGTGAAGGCAGAATGGTTCTGGGTTCTTGGGGAAGGCGGCGGTGGTGAACAGATCGGATAGGATCTCATAGACAGTTGTGAGAACTTTGAAGTCACTTGTGTATCTGTGGGCGACCATAGAAGGGACAGTGGTTGTTATAGACTGTGGGGCATGGGCTGACGTAGATACCAGTTAGGAGGTCATTACAGTCACCAGATGTGAGAGACTGTAGTCAGATTAGAATGGTAAAGGGTGTGCTGATGGCTTGGGCAGGGGTGTGAGAGAAAGAAAGATGCCCAGCAGTGATTCACAGATATGTCGTGAACAACCTGAAGGATGGGGAAACCACAGGAGGTACAGTGGAGGGTGGAAGGAAGGATGAGGAAGCATGCGGTGGACACCACTTTGGAACTGTATAGACACTTGAGTGTGAGGTGCCTATTTGACATTTAAATGGAGATATTCAGTTGAGTTGAGTTGAGTAGGCAGTTGAATACAACAGGCTGGCATTTAGGGCAGAGGTCTGGACTGTACACATAAATTTGGGAGTAGGGATAAATGGCATTTGCCCCCGAGACAAGGTGAGATGTCCGGGAGTTTAAGCAGAAGTGGTACAGAGGCGTGCAAGGCCCGGGGCCTGGTTCCCTCCAGGGCTGAGAGAGCCTGGTAATGAGCAGCAGGTCACAGAGGTGACTGAGAAGCAGCGCAGAAACAAGAGGACGGTCCCGGAGACTGAATGCAGGAGTGATGAGTGACAAGTGTCAGCAGTGACGCCCAAGGTCAGCCGAGAGCGGAGCATTGACTTCAGACAGGAGTTCCGCACTCACGTGGCAAACAGGGAGTGCTTTTCTAAAATTCCTGTGGTTCTTCCAGAGCAGCACTTGAGTTAAAAGTCAGATTACTGGATTTTGATCCCAGCTTGGCATCTGAATCTTGGGCTTGAGTTATTTGATCTGATTTTGAGTTCCCTCTTCTCTGAAAGGCAGATAAGAGTCAAGGTTATACCACCCTGAGCACACCCGATCTTGTCTGAAAGGCAGATAAGAATAGCTTCCTTGAATTATCTACCTCAGACAGTTATTGTGACGATGGCATGAGAGTACATAAACTGAAGTGGGCTATGCAAAGATGAAGTGTTATTTTTAAATGATTTTTCATAAGAAACAATGGTGACATTATCTTTTATTAGTAGAAAAGATGTGATTGATATCTTTTGGAAGGTGGTTATCAATATGAACATCATGGAGGATTTATCTCCACCTACATTTCTGGCAGCAGTCATATATTACTTTAGACTCAACAGCACCTAGTGTGGAGGCATTAGTAGGTGCTCATGAAGTAATGGGAACATTGTCTCGCTGTTCTGTTTTCCAGGCTGTTAATCAAGCTGGAGCAGGACCATACAGTGAGCTCGTCCTTTGCCAGACACCAGCATCTGCCCCTGACCCTGTCTCTACTGTGTGTGTCCTGGAGGAGGAGACCCTCAACGCCTATCCCGATTCGCCTTCTGTGTGCCTTGTACTGAACTGGGAAGAGCCGTGCAATAATGGATCTGAAATCCTTGCTTACAACATTGATCTTGGAGACACTAGCATCACCGTGGGCAATACCACCACCCACGTTATGAAAGACCTCCTTCCAGAAACCACCTACCGGTGAGTGCAGGAAAGTTGAAATACAGCTGCATGTACACATACATCAGAGCATGGGGCTACCGAACCTTCAGGTCCTCAAGGCCAAATGGGTGAATTTTAGTCATTTTTAATGCATTTAAGAGTACTAAATGCAAATACAGTTCAAAAACTTGTACTACTTTTTACCTTATGAGTCTGTTGCAAATTGATATAATTCCTAACCCGTGAGGGGACATTTCACCAACCGTTTTAAGTCAATTCCTCCTCCTTAGTTTTTTGATAAACTGCTTTTCTTGCTGTTTTTCCTCTGTCTCATCACTCTGCGACACACTCTGCACCTCTGAAGCAGGGCTTTGCCATTCTTCGGATCCCCTCAAAGCAGGCACGCTGTTACAGAGCATCTATGATGGGTCTTTTGTTCAGGATTTCATGAGCAGCCAGATAAAAGGCATTATATCACACTCCACCCAGCAAAACTCAGTTAACACCTGCATTCTTCCTTTCCCCCAGAATTCCTGTCAAGGAGCCAGCATGTCACCTTCCCCTATATACCTTTTTCTCAACATGGCCTCTTGAGATTTCAAGACATTTAGTTCTGTCTCCAAGGGCTTCCCAGGTGTTGCTAGTGGTAAAGAACCTGCCTGCCAATGCCAGTGCAGAAGACATAAGAGATGTAGGTTCAATCCCTGTGTGAGGAAGATCCCATAGAGAAGGAAATGGTAACCCACTCCAGTATTCTTGCCTGGGAAATCCAATGGACAGAGGAGCCTGGTGGGCTACTGTCCATGGGGTCGCACAGAATCATTCACTACTGAAGCGACTTAGCACGCATGCACCAAGGGGCCATAGATGGGAGACAAAAAATTCAGGATTAGCATTAGAGGAGTGCAGGAACCATTTGATTATTCCAGTGCCTCTTCAGGGTGTCTCCCTTTGTCATGTTCAATGGCTTATTAAGGAGGTGAAGTGGAGCCTGATTCAGAAACAGATCCTTAGCTATGTCTTCAGGCAAATTACTTAAGCTTTTGGTGTTTCAGCATCGTCCACAGCATGAGGAGAACAAGATTACTTAACGTCAAAAACACGCTGTAAGGAGTAAGCAGATGAATATTTAATGCTTATGTAGAGTCCAGCGGTGCATAGCAAGTCCACAGTAAACATGCACTGTCATTTTTATTGTTATCAAGATCTTCACCCCAAAAAACTGGTTCTTCTTGAGGTGGGACAGGGGAATACAAGCAGGTGATTTTACTGCTAAAAAAAAAAAAAACGTTTACCACTTATTTTTTTTTTTTGGCAGTGTTTTCTAATGTTGTAGTCTGATAGACTACCTTTTTCATCCCCAGAAGCAATCGGTTTATCAGCTGTAAGATACCAAAGTTCCAACCTGCCTAAGCATCTTAACTCTACTTTCCCTCTCTTACCAGGTCTTTTGTGAATAATTCATATAAGTGCATTCATTTTGCTTTTCCAAGTGATGACAGCTTGCTTGCCCTTTCCTTCTTTTAAGAGATCTGTCTTGGGCACAGTGCTGTGCGCCGTGGGTCTGTGAAATAGGGATGAACATCGTCCTCGCCCTCAGAGCACTCAAACAGCGACCTGAGATAGAAGGTGCTTATGACCTCACGGGCTGGAAATGACACTGTACAGAGTCCTTTTGGCATTTCAGAAAGGTCAAGACCCAGGGTTCAGAATGGTCAGGACGGTTTAAAGTGGGAACCAAGTTAGAAATAACTGGAATGAAAGAGGTATGACTTACATAGCTGAAGAGACAGGCCCCAAGGGCATTTTTCATTTTTAGCATCTTAGCCAGTCTCAGAAAACCACCCTCCACCTTTATATGCTAACCAAATACTGACTGCTGTGTCCAAAGCACTCTAATTGGGTGCTGAGGAAATCCAGAGGTGATTAAACCCAGACCTTGACCTCAGAGACATTCCCCAGTGATGATGCTCTACGAAGACCTGACCGTGAGGTATATATCTCTGGGGAAAAATGAGCATGTGAATGTCATCCCCTAACTGTTTCTCAGTGACCACATGTCCAGAATATCGCCTGACTTGGACCCTCAGGCCAGAAAACCTATGAAGAAGCCGCTGGCTCAGGGCTCACTGAAAGAGCTCATGTCTGCTGTGAGACCCACAATCCATGCCTATGCCAGAATGGACTCAGACCCTCGGGTCAGTCCTCTGAACACTCAGGTCAGCAATCATAAAGGACTTTGAGGACAAGGTTCCAGCGCGAGAATTTTGCCTCTTCCTGCCATTTATGCATACCTTAAAGGTAGTGTAAATGCTTATAAAACTTTCTGGGTTTTAGAAAGTTGATATTGGAGGAATGAATGCTGATATTCATTAGTCAACATATAGTCAAATGACTTCAAGAAAGAAATCTAGAAATCAAAAGTTCAAATGAAGAAACTGATGTAGGGGATCTTTGTTCATTGATGAAATGCCAATTGCAGTGGAAATTATCAAGAATATATTCCACATAAGTGGTTGGTTAAAGACATGTTAAAAAGTCACTGATTCTTTTCAGTGTTAATATACAAGGCTAGTATACTGAGCTGAATGTGGAAAGTCACACGGGGAGGATGTCACCTCTTAACCTTACAGGGCAGCTTGGAAGACACCATTTCAGACAGATTGCATGAAAAATGTACAGCTTTAGAAAAGACAAATCTTTGGCCTTAAGTCATATTGTGTGTTCTTGACAAAAAAAAAAAAAAGATTTAGTCAAAATATTTACTGGCCAATCAATAAATAAATTGGATGTTTCACTTTTAAGATATTAAAATTAATATTCACATTTAAGATAACCGTTTGTCCAACTTAAGGAATTTCGTTTCTATAATACTTCATTGGATTCTCTATAGTAGAACTCCAATCAGCCCATAGTCTTGTTCTTTTATGGTTCAAAAACACAAGATCGTAGTAATTGTGGTGAGATACAAAATGAGTATTTCAGGGAACTGAGAGTATAATTTTAGTCCAATCAACTTTTACCTCACCTTTTTTTGTCCCACAAATTGGTCAAAATATAAGTGAACAGATCATGATGTTCTAGATAAAAATGTGGAATGAAACAGGCTCTGGGGCTTGGATAAAAAAAGACTTGTTTTTTAAATTTTTTTCTTTAACCTTTAGCAGTTACACATTGTTCTCACATGGAGTTTATTCTTTCTCTGTCTCACTGGGACAGAAATGTTCACCTCTCCAGCCAACCTATGGACACTAAAATGGATCCATCCTTTACCGGTGCTTGCCAGACTGTGCACTGGCTTACTAACATCCTGTATACAATTTGGTTGGAATTACAATGAGATTTTTAAAAGGTACTACCTTTAAATTTAGGATTGAGTTTGTGTTTTGATTCGAGGAGGAAAAATTCATTAGAAAAAAAAAGAGATATAGCTTTCTTTTACATGCTCCCGCTACTATAGGCTTTGTGAACTGAGACGAGATCGCCTGCTGTCACCCTTTCCCAGTGCCCTGGCGTGAATATCTCCAGTGATGAAGCAGTGTTTTCAGCTTCATCTTCTCCTCACCAAGAAGTTCAACTCTGTTTCTGTAGAGTTTCCCATATACTTTGTTAAAACCTGAGCTGAAATCTACTAAAATCAACTCAGTTGATCCTGGGTTTTCTTCTAGAGCAGTGATACTCAAAAGTATGGTTCCTGGACCAGCAGCATCAGTATTAAGTGCAATTTATCAGGCCCTAGCGGAAACCCCTGGAATCAGAAATCTCAGGATAGGGCCCAGCACTCTGCTTTAATTAGCCCCAGAGGAGGTTTTGTTGCCTGTTAAACATTTGAGAGGGCTCAGTGGCTCAGCCGTCAAGAATCTACCTGAAATTCAGGAGACGCGGGTTCCATCCCTGGGTCGGGAAGATCCCCTGGAGAAAGTTATGGCAACCCACTCCAGTATTCTTGCCTGGAGAACCCCATGGACAGAGGTGCCTGGCAGGCTCTAGTCCATGGGATCACGAAGAGTCGGACATGACTGAAGTGACTTAGCACGCACACACACAAAAGTTTGAGAACTTTGCCCTAGAGCAGTGATTCTAAGATTCCCATGGGGAGGTTTTGCAAAATACAGAAGTCTGAGCCCCACCCCTATGGCCTAGACATCTTTAGCTTATTATGTCTGCTGTCTCCTACTTAACAATATTCACTTGGTTCAAATCTGTCTCCACTGGCAGGGGTTTCTATAATCCATTCCAACCTCTTCTTTGGGTGATTTCTGTTTCTTAATGGCCTCTTTAATGAGCAGTGCACTCACCTCCAGGAATAGTGTGGCTGGCTCAGAGCAGAAGAAGATTGTCACCTTCTTTGTTCTCCATAGTGAGCTGTTGGTAAGGTAGCCTAGGATCACTTTTTTTGGGCAACCTTGTTATGTGTCTGACTCATGTTGAACTGGCAAACGGCTAAAACTTAAGGTAAATTTGTTTGCTCTGCTCTTTTGGCTAGGTAAAAATAGGGGTGAAAATAACATTTTATGACTCCTTATATGTCAAGCACTGCATTAGCCTGTCAAGAAGTGAATCCTGAGTCATTTCATTCTAACAAGATGAAGTGGACTTTATAAGGAGACAAGTTCTGAATGGTTCAAAAGCAGTGCACTGGAGTCAGACAGCCTTGGCATCAATCCTGGGTCTCACTTGTTGCCTCTGTGACCTCTGGCACAGAGGTCTTTGTATCTTTTTAAGCTCTTTGTATCTCAGGTTTCTGATCTATAAAATGGGGATGATTACTTTAACTACCTGATAGTGTTATTTTTTAGACTTCAGGTACCTTGTGAAGGACCTGACACATAAGCTCTCAATAAATTTTCTGTTGCTAATGTTTGGAAGGGAAGAAATGAGCTGGCGGGCTTCTCTGGTGGCTCAGAGGTTAAAGCGTCTGCCTGCAATGCGGGAGACCTGGGTTCGATCCCCGGGTCAGGAAGATCCCCTGGAGAAGGAAATGGCAACCCACTCCAGTATTCTTGCCTGGAGAATCCCATGGACGGAGGAGCCTGGTG